TCTATTGCATATTACCACTGTTAGAATGTGTGAGCCAGCAAACAGAACAGATTAAGAGAAAATCGTAAGAAATGTGTAGGCTGGTTTCTTTCTTCAATTTTAGTGCCTATTCCTAAACAGTAAGGGACACAGTACATGTTGAAACTCCTGGTTGTGTAATACAGAGAGATGTTACTGCTTTTTTAACAATCCATCATCACCCAAATCTCAAATCTACAGTGTTTTCAAGTGTTGGTGCCAATTTTTTTCTCCATCTTTTGTTTAGTAAATTAGGATTTCTTATGTAGGAATATCATTTTGATGGGAAAGGAAAACAGAATCTGGTAATCAGAGAAGCAGACTTTCAAATGGGCTTGCTATCAATTCCTACCCAGAGGAAAGACAAGAAGCTAGGGAAGACTCCCCTCACCTAAAACAACAACAACAACAAAAAATCTGTTGTATTAGAGCTTAAAGAAGTTCTTTCCTCTTAAGAGAAATGCCATCAAACAGGGTGTCCAACTGTCTTGGTTTGCTTAGTTAGCCTACATTAAAAAAGCAGGGGTGCTCGGCACCTGTAGCACAATGGTTACTGCATTAGCCACATATACCGAGGCTGGTGGTTCGAATCCAGCCCTGGCCAGCTAAACAACAATGACAACCTCAACAAAAAATAGGCTGTTATGAGCTATGACACCATAGCACTCTACCCAGGGTGACAGCTTGAGACTCTATCTCAAAAAAAAAGAAGAAAAAGGAAAAATGATTGCAGCAGCCAATGCCAGTAGCTGTATTAAATAGCACAGGTAGATTAGATGTTCAGGGGTTGTATACTTCAGATGTCACTGAACAGACACTGGCAAGAATTCTGTTCCTTGCTGTGATCTGAATGGGGTTACTGTGTAATACACAGTTCTTTATTATGGTGCAGAAAAGATGATAGAGTATATAAAAGTGAAGTAGATTTGAAACAGTTCAGTATAAGAAGTAAATTGGGAAGATTTGAAGCAATGAGTATAAGCAGGGTATAGTTTTACACCATTCAAATACAACATACACTTTTGTTCCTGATATTGATTGCACCATAACAGTGAATATTAGTTCAGAATAGCTGGAAAAAAAAATAAATGCTCATTTTGAGTGATCGTGGGATAATGCTTCCTACTCTGGTGTTGGTTTCTAGGCTAAGGAAAGGTTGTGGAGCTGGGTGCAACAGTGGTGGCAATATCGAAGACTCTGATGCTGGAGGTGGGACTTCCTGCACGACTACTAATGCCACAACTGCCCATGATCCGCACAGCAGCATGTCCCAGGGAAGCACTGGGAATCCTGGGCAGGGGCCAGGAGCAGGACTCCATCCACCTGTCACATCTTACCCTCCAACACTAGGTAATCCTCCACTACTGGGAAATACTTTGTTTGATTCCCAGATGTACATTATATTAACTATATTCCCATTTGTTTATATTAAATATTTTTAATATATTATACAGGGTATCCATAAAGTTCATGTACAATTTAAAATAGACTATTTTGTTATAGGATTATATATGTATCATCCTTTTTAACTTGATATTTGACATAAACATTCAAGGCATTAAGGATTTCTTAAAAACATTTTTAAAGGCTATATAATATTTCAGTATTATAATTTGTTTTAACTTCTCTCCTGTTGAACAATGACTTGGTTTCTTCTGACATAATGTTGTAATAATCTTTATATTTAAATCTTTGTAAAGACTAGAGACTTTAAAAATGGAATCATTTGGCCAAAACTTATGAGAATAAAGCTCTTAATATATAATGCTGAAAAATCTTTCCAGAAAATTTTGTTTTCACAAGGTACTGACCAGTCATGTGTAGGAATGCCTGTCTTACAGACTGACTAGCCCTGAGTGCTGCCCCTTCCCACCTGTGCCCCCTGTTTACTCAGAGTGGCAAGACAAGGGCTGGCCTTTAATGTCATTGTTTGAATTTGCATCGCTCTGATACCTGACATTGGGAATTTTTTTGAGACAGTCTGACTTTGTTGTCCTTGGTTGAGTGCTGTTGCATCATAGCTCACAGCAACCTCAAACTCTTGGGCTCAAGTGATTGTCTTGCCTCAGCCTCCCTAGTAGCTGGGACTACAGGTACCCAACACAATGCCTGGCTATTTTTGTTTGTTTGTTTAGTAGGCCTAGCCGGGTTCGGACCCAACAGCCCCAGAGTATGTGGCTGGCACCCTAACCACTGAGCTATGGGCATGCAGTGAGATTGGGGGTTTTTTAATGAGTTTATCAGCTGCTCCTCTCTCTGCAGTACCTACTTAAATCCATGGTATCTTGCTTATTTTTCTATTTGGTTATCTTTTTCTTATTGCTATTTTATATGAGGGATTTGAGCTTTGTCATTTTTCAGTACTAAAGATGCCTTTTCCATTCTGTCCCTTGACTTTTCACTTCCTTGCTGTGAAAAACCCTTGTCTTCTTACAATGAGACGTTCTCAATTTTATTGTAGCACAGTGTTCCCTACCTGCGGGTCCTCAGAGTATGCCTTTACTCATTTACCTTGGACGTGAGATCTGTTGCACCTGGGGTGTGGCAAGAATGGGGTTCCATCTGCTTCCATAGCCCCGGTCACTTGATGCATCCAGCATTGCCCTCTCCCCTCCTGCTTTGTGTGGACCAATTGAAGTTTAGGACATTTACTTTAGTTAAAAAATGTATATATTCCAATGGAATTGGAATGAAGACTCTAAACAGATGTGTGATCAACATTTTCAATGTTCTTTTTATACTTTTAAGTGAAAGCCTAAAACTTTCATTGTACTTTTTTCCAAATGTATGTTTTACTTTTGTATTTATTAGCTCTTTTTATTTTCAGTTAAAAAGTACACATAGCTGTGTTTTCAGTATAATTAATGGTTGTTTTCTAAACTTTACCTTACTCTTATGAGTCCGGAAACGACAAGTGTGAAGAATCCTGTCAAGCCACTTGAGAAAGGATGCAGATGCCTGCCAGTCAGCATCACTGATGACCTGTATTATCAGTGATCCCTCAGTGTGTATGAGACTCAGCGTGGCATCTGCTGTGTCTCCACCGCAGTGTAGCCTGCCATTGCAGTAGATTGAAAGGGCAGTAGTTACAGAATAGTTACGTAGCACGCCACAGAGTGGGTCCTAAGTTTTTTTTTTTTTTGATTCACAAATGAAAATTGTAAACATTTATGGTATACAACATCAAGTTTTGATAAATGAATACACTGAAAAATGATTACATCTGGCTAGTTAACATTCCCACCACCATATGTACTTATTTTTTGTGTTAAGAGTATTTTAGATGTACTCACTTAGCAGTTGTCAAGCATGCAACACATTATTATGATAGAAACCATGCTGTGTGCTAGGTTTCCAGAACTTACTCTTCCTTACTGAGACCTGGGCCCTTTGCCAGCATCTCCCCTTTCTTCCCTTCCCCACCCCTGGCCCCTGGCCACCTCCATTCAGCTTTCAGCTTATGTGAGTCTGACTTTTTTAGATTTCACATGAGTGAGATCATACAGTATTTCTTTTTATTTTTCAATTTTAATATACACCTCACTGATACTCAGTTTACAGTATTTCTTAGTAAATATTTCTGTCTCATTTTCATAAGATATTTCATTATGATGTGTTAAGTATTCTTGTCATTCTCAAATATTTCTGTGAAAGATATTTTGGGATTTATCACAACCTAAATCCAGATGTTTGCTGTAAAATACATAATTATGTCTTTCTTATGCCCCAGAATTTGAATTTTTA